ATGATGTCTTCCCCCCCTTCCTAGCTCTTGAGTTCCAATAGCAGGATCAGATAGCAGTTCCTGTATTGTGTGAGTCACTTAAGAAGACCTCTGGCTTCCCTGGAGTGCAGGTAACAAGCACCTTGGCCTGTGGTCAAGATCCTTCTCTGCAGGGGGGGCTGGGCTGTCCGGGCAGCTGTGCTTGAGCCAACGCATCAGAGTCCTGCACTCGGCAGGGACCGGACAGGCCAGCCGACTGGGATCAGAAAGTGTGAGGTCCGCCCGGCCAGCGTGGCTCAGCGGTTGAGTGACAGCCTATGAACCAGAAGGTCACAGTTTGATTCCCGGTCAGGCAGCTGATCAAGGATTCTCTCTCATCATTGATGTTTCTCTCTCTCTCTCCTTCTCCCTTCTTCTCTGAAATTATACATATATATAAATTTTTAATTTTTTTAAGAAAGTGCCAGGAGCTTAGCAATGGAAGTCCAGGGTTGGAGTCCCGGTTTCCTGCTGTCTCTTTAAGCCTTGGGGTCCTTTACCTAAAGAACTGAGATCATAATGGCCACCTCAGGGGCTGCTGAGTTAAATAATAGAGTGGCTATAAAGTATTTCACACTTGAGGTGGTTTCTGTCAGCACACCAGTTGTGAGTTCCCTTCCTCTCCTGCCCCCTGCTCTCAGGGGGAGCACACCCTTAAGGAGAGGAGACCAGTGCAGAGCAGATGGACGGTTACTCTCCATGTCTTCCAGGTTTTCCAGGAGTGGGCATGGGATCCAGGAGGCAGTTCTGGAGTTAGCAGATGGCAGCTATTGGGCATCCTCCTTCCACTCCTATAGCCTACCAATAAAGGAAAGGCACAGAGATGGGATCTGCTCATGATCTAGACCAGTGGTTCTCAACCTTCTGGCCCTTTAAATACAGTTCCTCATGTTGTGACCCAACCATAAAATTATTTTCGTTGCTACTTCATAACTGTAATGTTGCTACTGTTATGAATCGTAATGAAAATATCTGATATGCAGGATGGTCTTAGGCGACCCCTGTGAAAGGGTCGTTCGACCGCCAAAGGGGTCGCGACCCACAGGTTGAGAACTGCTGGTCTAGACCCTGGCTTCTCTCAGTGGGGACATGGACAGGGAGGGTGTTATTAGGGAGCAAATACTGTGAAACTAAGGGGGAAACTTCCAGACCCCTATCTTCCAAAGCACCTCATCCTTGATCATTGCAGGAGCAACAGGTGCAAAGAGGAGAAAACTCAGGAGCCTTGGGGTGTGGAAGGCTCAGTGTCCCTTTCTGCAGCACAAGCACAACATTTAAAGATGCACCAAAGGATTCAGGGTGGTTGGGGTGAGAGGTGGGCCTGGGAAGTGTTGGGATTCCAAGCAGAGGTGACCTCAGGTGTCTCATCTGGGTGATCTCCCATGATTCCTCCTCTCCAGACCCAGCTCAACGCAGCAAAATAATCTGGGGAATAAATACGCCACCTGCCCTTTCCTCTTACGCGTTTGTCCCAGCATTCCTCACAGCAACTGTAACAGGTTAAATGTTATCCCCAGTTTACAAAGGAGGAAATTGAGCTTCGGAGAATTCAAGTCACTTGCCCCAGGTCTCATAGCTCCTAAGTGGCAGGGGAGGAACTGCAAGCCAGTCCTCTCTCCTGCACTTAGCAGGAAACACAGTTCACTCATTTGGAAAAATGTATCCAGCACCCGGTCTGAGCCCAGCGGCAGCCAGGGCAGGGCTAGCTCCCCCTGTGGGGCTCCTGCTTTCTCAGGACCTGAGGCTCCTCCAGGCATTCCCCATGATAGAGGTGGGCAGTTACCCCGCAGTCCCGGGCCAGACTGTGGTGGGTAACCTCAGCAGGGAAATGGCAAGCAGCCACCAGGCGCCTGACTCCACTCTCACCTCCCAGCTTCTCCAGCTCCATCCTATCTCTCCCTGAACAACTTCTGCAAAATCACAGGTTCCAGAAGGACACCCTCCCTCGAGTCCAAGCACTCTGCAGCACTTTACTCCCCGTGGGTGATGGCAACAGTTGGTGTTCTTTGTCTTCTATTTATTTGTTTACTTTTAATAACAAAAGTTGTATCTGCATGTTAAAATTTTTCAGACAATGCAGGAGCTCAATGTGTAGAAAATACTAGCAATCCATTATGGAGGTTTAGTACATTCCCCCTGCCCCCATGCTCATACCAATACTCCAGGATCAGTATTGTCCCCTTTTTACACATGGGTAAACTGAGTCATGGAGAGATTAAGTGTTTGGTCCAAGATCACAGGCTAGGAAGTAGCTGAACCAGGATTCAACCTGAGGGAGCCAAATCACCCATCAAGCTGTTCAGTTGAACAACCGAAACGCGTCTCCCTAAAAGGAATTCTTAACCAAAAGGTGGGAGTTTTTGTTTTTAAGTGTTTCCTTCAACCCTGCCGGTGTTGCTTAGTGGTTGAGCCTTGACCTATGAACCAGGAGGTCAGAATTAGATTCCCAGTCAGGTCTCCATTCCCCAGTAGGGGGCGTGCAGGAGAAAGCCAATCAATGATTCTCTCGTTGATGTTTCTATTTCTCTCTCCTCCCTTCCTCTCTGAAATCAATAAAAATATATATTAAAATATTTCCTTCACCAGATAGGGAGTGAGGGAGGAAGAGAAGAGAAGAGGATTTCCCATAATATTCTGCCACTGCCCTTTTGCTCTGCGTAGACTAGATCATGGCTTAGGTCTTAACGTCACCTTCCCCGGGCTGCTCCCTGCAATCACTGAGCAGAAGCTGGGGAGGTGGACAAGGGCGCTGTGGGTCCCTAACTGCTAACCTTCCCTCCCGCAGGCCCCTTGCACGCAGCATGTGGCTGCCACGCATCTCCAGCACTACGGTGACCGCGCTCCTGCTGGCGCAGACCGGCCTCCTGCTCTTCCTGGTCTCCCGGCCCAGGCTGACACCCCCAGCAGATGGCGAGGAACGGGTGCATGTGCTGGTGCTGTCTTCATGGCGTTCCGGCTCATCTTTCGTGGGCCAGCTCTTCAGCCAGCACCCCGATGTCTTCTACCTGATGGAGCCCGCGTGGCACGTGTGGTCCGCCCTGTCGCAGGGCAGCGCGCCGGCGCTGCACATGGCCGTGCGTGACCTGGTGCGGTCCGTCTTCTTGTGTGACATGGATGTGTT